TCGAGCCCTGGATTCACAAGTTGCCGCTTAGTCCCAGTTTTGTAGAGAATACTTCGGACTGTATATCTATGAAAAAAATCTATTGGTTTATATTTCAGATTGTCATGATAGCTCAGGCTCACTCTGTACAACTACGTCGACCATTGCACATTCGTGTAACAGTGTCGATTGTTTCAGTAGGATTTCTTCTTCTTGGAATTCTTAGGAGTTCTTTCTTGGACTTCTGAATTCAATTGAAATAAGAGCCATCTGATGAGACGTATTGAGCAACGTCCCAACCGGTCATGGTAGTTCAGGCTCATACCCTCAAACTTAAAAATAATTTTGCCCATTTCTTAAGAAAATCTTTGGCCATGCAGAACACATAAATAGAATCAACCTGTTTTAGACCTTTAATTTTTGGTACTACTGCTTGGCCAAGTAAGCCGGAAACAATCAGAAAGATTTTTTCATTTGTAATTTCGGTTATGAAGCCAATACACTCTCCAGTGTCAGTGAATGTTTCAAGACGATTCACAATCGAACGCAGTGCACTGGTTGACCTCTTAATATCTTCCGAATCTGCATTGGCTGTTTTCGCATCAAGTCAAATTACATAAAATTCTTCGTAGTTTTTGTGTTCAAAACACTGGTTTCGATGAAAGTTCTCACGTTCGCCAGATTCAATTTCTTTATTACGAAGAGATTGTAATGTAGAAATCTTTTTGTATTTCATTACGTACAGAAAAAACTTTTTCTTTTGACTTACCTTCAGAACCTATTGTAGGTTCCATTGGTCCAAATTCTGAGGAATCTATATTCGTTTCAGAGTTCCCAAAAATATTTCTCTTATGATACGTACCTATGGAAATAGTTTGAGAAAGCAAAGAAGTAAACTTGCCAAAGCGACAAAAAAAACATCCTCTAAAGCACTTTTCGCAAACGCAACGTCTGTTTGCGTGGCCAGCTAAGGTCATCTTTTTTTTCGTAAAAACACAGATTTTGGCTGGAGAAGAAAGGAAAAAACAGGAAACAAATATGTGATATTACAATTAAAATTAAAATAGGTGTTATTACAAATCCAAATGATATTTATCGGAAAATATTCCGTTTTCATGCATTGATATATTGTGAAGTGGTATTGGAAACATCTGAATATGTAATACCACTGTCTATTTCGACAAATGAATTCAGCTCAATCGAACATTTCGTCATCAATGTTAAGATTTCCATCGATCAACTTGGTAGTTTGTTATCCTATGTCCCCCAACTACGGCGTTTATCAGTTGACCAGTTAAATGGATTCCTAAACAACCGAAGACAAAGCAGTTCAATAATCTCAAATTGTTTGGCAAATGTTTCCCTTAAACTGAACGGTGTGAACTTTAATGATTTTGAAGTATTAATCTTAGATTCCTGTTGACAAGTTTTGCGTATTATAGTACACCCTGGGAGATTTTTTGGCGATGGCATAGAGTATTGAAGTGCTAATCGATGGGAACGATTAATTTCAACGTACATACCAAACCTGTGCGTCTTTGATTTCGAACATAAATGTGACATGACAACGATGATCGTCAAACATATGAGTCTCTGGTCAATAAGTTAAATTCGTCATTTTGGGTAGAACACCAATGGTTCTTTGAACATCAGTACCATTCGTGCTGTTTTGTATTCAAGAAATCCCCACAGGTAGAAACAAGAAAAGTTTATTTACGATTATACAATTATGTTCTTTTCCTTTTCAGAAGAAAAGATCACATGCTGCACGAGCAACTGCCTGAGAATAAGCGGTTATCAGCTGATGATATTAAAAGGATCCCGTTGATTGTGTTTATGTTAATAGTGCATATACGATAAAACAATTTGTGGGTTATTTTTCAAATACTACTGAGCTCACTCTCGATGAAGCTTTTAGTGTTCCTTGTAATTCAGTTGCAACTAGCTTTAAGCACATTATTTGCTTGAAACAACTTACTAAACTAACTGTTTCCTGCTATCTTTTTCCTTTCCAACAGCTAATTGGACTGCTGCAATTTACAGAAAATATTCACACATTGAAACTTAATTCTATATTATTTTATCAAACGGATTTTGATTTAATTCAACAAAATAAAATATTTTGCATAGCATCTAATCTAAATATTATGACAAAGTTGACGATCGGCGAAGAAATGACTTTTAACAAATCCAAGTGCTTACTGCGCTTTTTCCTCGAATGGAATATCTTATAATTAATTTAGACATAAAATGTGGGAAATCAATAGCACGATTTCTATTATCAAAATCTAATAATAATATTCGTTATTTATCGTTACTATGTATTTCACATCAATCGCTTTTCGTCAATCGCACGTCGACATGAAAAATTGATGAAAGAATTGAGAACTTGGATCAAATTGAACAACCTTCTTCATGGTCATGCTGTAAAAGTGGTTGATCGAAAACTATGTATATGGTGGTAGAATTTATAAGGTTTTTATCAAGAACATCCACTTATTCACCATATTATTGGAAAATACGAATGTTTGCTAATATCTTTGCTCGAATGGCAACCAATGACAAATATTGTTTTAGCACCAGGGATTCCCAAATAACGTTGAGATTTTAAAACACCGACGGAAACGGCGCAAGACGAAAAATCCTTCCATGTGACTGTTTTACTCATTGGATAATCTTCACTTAAATCGACTTCTGACACTTCGATAGACACATTTCTGTGTTGATGGAAGACGGCAGAGTGCAGTTAGAAACAGTTTTAGAAACCACGGTTTCAATTGTTGTCTGTCTTTGGATCGAAGTGTACTATTCAAAACCATGTAAAGACACTGATCGAGTGGTTTCCATTCCATCGTATAGAGCATTATCGAAACTGATTCGTCTGGAGTTCGATTATCAGCGGGTTTTTTACCATAGCAAATTTAGGTTATAAGCTTTGCAAACAAATTAGTCCACGATGAAACTCCATCAGTAAACAGTGGATTCAACCAAGATGATGAGAAGCGTCTTATCCAGAAAATATAACTTCGTTGAACTGAGAGATTTTCCAGATATATGTTTAGTTTATCAACCTAGTCTTCATCAATCTTCTATTCAAGTTGTACTTTTATACAAGCAAGGTCATTTTCGACGTTATATGTCTTAACGCAGATTCGCTAAAATAAAATAGCCTAATTTCTTTAACTCTTTCGTTATTCATATACATTGTTTTCAGACTGTTTGACCCTTCTAAACTTAACTTCTGTCTACTTGCTGTTGATCGACATGTTTGAAGAGCGAATTTTGTCACTACTTCTAGCTCTATTTTCTTAAAACAGATCTGCAAAGAGCGAGTTATTAGCGGCACTCTTTTCAAGAGAAATTACCATTCAAAAGAAAGTGCAGAACAAATATATTGGACTCTTCATGTGGGCCTTCAGAATAATTGAAAAATTTTCCCGCATCCCGTCCTGCGAACTCCTCTAATGTGTACGGTGTGTATCACTAATCCATGGAGGCCCATTTAAAACTGAAAACTTTGCTAATCCAAAAGCACAAAATCAAGAGTTTTTCTTCCCAGTCTGAAAAGCGTTATTTCAAGCGGATACAGGCTAACTTACCAGATAGGAAATCTAATGTTTCTGGATTACGCATTCAACTGTCTAAGCCGCTGTAACCCAATCCTTGCTCCATAGCCATGAAACCACAACAGTGACGACTGTGTGTATGATCATTGTCACCATGCTGTGAATGTTTTTGATTAGGCATCTGGCTTTTATAATAATCACCTATTTGTTTTGCTACTGTTGGATAAACACCTAAAAGCTATGACAGATAATATAAGAAATGTTTTACTTCGTTGCACTCCAGAAAGGTTTTCTGTAAATGACACTCGGATAACAAAAGATGAGGGTGTGATAAAATAATGGCAAAATGGATGACGAACAAATACATACTTCTTTGCCAATTGTAAATTTTGCCACTTCACCAATGCGCATTGTCTGTAAACACTGTTCCCAACATTCTAATTTATGTCCCAATGTAATTTTCATTGGTTTCTGATAGTGTCTGGAATCTTCAATGACTGTGCCGTCTATCTTCATAACTTTGTAGTGAAAAACTAGCTAGATAAAAGAAAAAAGACGAAGATGATTGAATTTAAAATATAGGGCAAAGAAAGTTTTCACAGTTCAATACTTTAGTTTCATCTCGAAAATCCACTGTTTGCTTTCCAGGATAAATCACTTGCTTCTTAATAGGACACTTAGAGGTATCGGGCCCGAAAATCATTTTGTCAGCCATTGTAGGTTTAATCTAAGATGTTTAAGTCATTCTTCACGAACATTCTAAAAATTCATAAGATTGTTAGAAAACTCAAACCGAAAGTATCTTGTTCCACAGGCCGAGTTTCTAATAAAATGCTAAAATGCCTCGATCCAATCTATTGCATAGAGATTACATCCATATTAAACGATTTTTTCACGGATAACATACCGCTGGCGCATTGGAAAATTGCTAAAACTATTACCTTGTCCAAGACGAAAACTATATCTACAACATCAGATCTGCGCCCTATCTCTCTATTATCAGTTTTTTCAAAAATCTACAAAAATTATTCCTACAAGAGGTGTGTTACACCTATTATTGTTTGGAAAGAATTGTGACTTAGCTAAGGAACGCATCTGACGTTGCGTTGTCTGATGGCAATGACTACTGAAATACCATGTCACACTAAAAGACAAATCAAACGCTTGAGTACGCGCACTATGAGTGAATCTTAGTCCATATTTTACCCACTTACTCCGCGCGTGCTCAAGCGTTTGATTTGTTTTTCAAGAAGAAATGGTTTTGGGAGGCTCGGAAGGTGTTATTCGTGATCAGCTCGTTAAGGGGGGCGGCGGCCGGGGGGGGGGTGGGGGGGGGGGGGGGGGGGGGGGGGGGGGGGGGGGGGGGGGGGGGGGGGGGGGGGGGGGGGGGGGGGGGGGGGGGGGGGG